TTGAAAAGCTTCCAATTTAAAGCTAAATTGATATATCAGGTTCTCCGGAAATTCGGTGACTTTATTTACTGGTGAGTCACACTCGCCACATCTTGGTGTTGTTAAACAGACATTTGTGACTTTCTATAGGGAGAACGCTTTCTAGACGGAATCCCACGACCTCCTGGATCACTGGTGCCGAACCATTAGCTGAAACGGGCTTAACCTGTGCCATTCACCTGCACTTCATGGAGGTTTTTCGGCTAGTCAGGCGATTTGACAATTTTTCCTTTGAAGTTAACGGTTTTTCACCCGTTGCTTGCATCCTGATTGTAACATCGGTTTCCAATCGGATCCTGCTTTAGTTAACTATTTAGTTATGTTAGCGGAACTCATTTCTGCCTAACATTATGGGTTCTAAGTAGCCCCGTTTGATTCACTTCAGTACGCGTTACAGTAGTGTGCCGATGCTCCAACCGGATCGCATTTATCTCACCCATGATTTTGGCGGGTTTTCGTCAGTTCACCTCTTCTGCGGCTCTTTGCTTGTTTCTTCTCCTTGGTTGAAGTATGATTTATTTTTATCCTAGTCAGTATGTGACGCATCTTATTTGAAAGTTTCTTTTAAGATTTCCAGTCCCATTGATCATAAAATTTGCGATTCGGTTACGACACACGTTCGTGATCTGGGCGCCTCTTCTCACCTCACCTTGTCGATAACGGTGAACAAATGTGAGATGAACAAAATAAAAATCAGTCGAGTCTGTCAAACAATTGTGATTGTGGAAATTATTCAAACCTTCCACTATGGCCACTTCGATTTGGGCTTGGAGTTGATCAACCAAGACCTAACTAGTATGCTTAAATGGAAGCGGTTGGATTTCTCTAAAATCTCTAATATCAAAAATAGTTCATCACTCTGGCGTTTTACTCATGTAATTAGTTCTGCGCCCCTAGACATTTATTTCTTGTGGTCGCTGTCCCCTGACTCGATAGATTCCTCTGCACCGGAATCTTTCATAGCTGTGCAAAGTTATCTTGTTGTTAGCGAGAAAATAACAGACAGAGGCACACTTGCTCAGGATTTTTATTGCATCTAACGCCCGGACGATGCTTTGTTACATCAAGTGATAACGAATCAACGCTATCCGGTTGCGATTGGTCGTGACTCCTATTCAACATTTGTTTGTTTAGTCCACAGTTGTTTAGGACACTGAGAAACTTTCACTAGACGCAGACCATTCAGTTGGACTGAGCCTCGCACTGTCGAGGAACATACCGTTTATTTATTTATACTCACATTGTATTCTCATTCTGATCCATAACCATTATTTACCACAAAGCTCAAGATTGGACTCAGATGTATTCTTTGTTAGAGATCGCTTATCAGAACTGTTGAATAACACAGAGTAGATTAGGGTTGCAAACAGATCTCTTTTCGGTAGTTCACATGAGGCAGTTACATTTACAGCACTGATAAAACCAACAGTAAGCTGCGAACCGATGAGACGGTTTGAACAGATTTAGCACATTGGTTCGATGCTCAAATCGATCTAATCAAGTGACGCCGCGACAGGACTAACAGACTTGCGCAACAAAAGAACTTTGGTTAACGGAACAAGTAAAAATGCCAAATAAAAAGGTAAAAATATAAGCAAACACCTGCTTTTCCGTAATGTTCCAAGGGGACGATTTCTCGTCAGGGCCATGACAAAGTCAGCGGTTCCACGAGCCTGCATTGCTGGCAGTGTCAGCCTGATCGCCTCAGCCGTCTGCGAGAGGCGTTTCCTCAACCGTTTCGGGTCTCATTGCGGTACGGCATGGTAAACCTTGAATGCATCTTCGGTGGAAATTTGTAGCCCACTTTGAAGCATATGTTCCAAGATGAAATTGTTGACACTACTGCGTTATGATTATGGCTACAGGTAGTGAACCGAAAGGGAGAGCGCCACTGACATACAGACTGCATCTCATGTACTGAGAATTCTGACCACTTCTGTTTTTTTCATACTCAGCAATTTTTGATATCCTGCCGTTTTACTTGTCGCTGTGTTACGGACGCTGCATAGATACATCAACTGTTTTCTTTTCAACTGAGGCCGATATGTGCGCCACATGACCTGTAAGGATCAAAATTTCCATCTAACCTGCTGCAGTGGCAGAGTGGTTAAAACTGACGAGTTTTCCCTGAATTTTTTCTTTATTGCCGGTGGCTAAGTAGTCTGCACTCCTGACTTGCAGTCATATAGGGTCACCGGTTCGAATCCGCAAATGCGCGGGCACCCTCGCGGTATACTCAGCCCACGCGCGACTGCTGGTAGTAGCGCGGCAGCGAAGCGCCGTTACAGCGCACAACTGGCGCTTTAGTATTATTTTTGTTTGCACGCACATATGGAATATCCATGTTACACGCACATTCAAGTCTCTCGATAGTCTATTGTACCATATTTTATCCTATTTTAATTAGAAAAATCTTTCGGAATCAGCAACACGCACAAAATTTGCCACGCACTGCGAGGAAGGCAAGCATATAATGGAACGATTCCGGTCGATCATGGAAACCGCTTATGAGACGGCTGTGGAGGAAAAGTAAGTCCGCAACGTCAACAAAATAGCCACAACACATTTAAAAGAATACTGGATTGGAATCCATCGCTGTGGATTTATTCAGCCAGTTGCTGGGACTTGTTCCTGCGCATCTGCGTTTGCAATCTAGCGACTGTTCCTACTGACGAAGGAGGAGGAACTTGAACTCTGGCAGATCCGGGAAGTTCACTTTAATGGGAACCCTGAAATCGAGTATTTTTTGCCTGAATTATTGGGATCTGGCTGCGTATAACTGTGACTAAATTTCACACAGACTGTGAGTTTGCTTGCATCCTGATTGTAACATCGGTTTCCAATCGGATCCTGCTTTAGTTAACTATTTAGTTATGTTAGCGGAACTCATTTCTGCCTAACATTATGGGTTCTAAGTAGCCCCGTTTGATTCACTTCAGTACGCGTTACAGTAGTGTGCCGATGCTCCAACCGGATCGCATTTATCTCACCCATGATTTTGGCGGGTTTTCGTCAGTTCACCTCTTCTGCGGCTCTTTGCTTGTTTCTTCTCCTTGGTTGAAGTATGATTTATTTTTATCCTAGTCAGTATGTGACGCATCTTATTTGAAAGTTTCTTTTAAGATTTCCAGTCCCATTGATCATAAAATTTGCGATTCGGTTACGACACACGTTCGTGATCTGGGCGCCTCTTCTCACCTCACCTTGTCGATAACGGTGAACAAATGTGAGATGAACAAAATAAAAATCAGTCGAGTCTGTCAAACAATTGTGATTGTGGAAATTATTCAAACCTTCCACTATGGCCACTTCGATTTGGGCTTGGAGTTGATCAACCAAGACCTAACTAGTATGCTTAAATGGAAGCGGTTGGATTTCTCTAAAATCTCTAATATCAAAAATAGTTCATCACTCTGGCGTTTTACTCATGTAATTAGTTCTGCGCCCCTAGACATTTATTTCTTGTGGTCGCTGTCCCCTGACTCGATAGATTCCTCTGCACCGGAATCTTTCATAGCTGTGCAAAGTTATCTTGTTGTTAGCGAGAAAATAACAGACAGAGGCACACTTGCTCAGGATTTTTATTGCATCTAACGCCCGGACGATGCTTTGTTACATCAAGTGATAACGAATCAACGCTATCCGGTTGCGATTGGTCGTGACTCCTATTCAACATTTGTTTGTTTAGTCCACAGTTGTTTAGGACACTGAGAAACTTTCACTAGACGCAGACCATTCAGTTGGACTGAGCCTCGCACTGTCGAGGAACATACCGTTTATTTATTTATACTCACATTGTATTCTCATTCTGATCCATAACCATTATTTACCACAAAGCTCAAGATTGGACTCAGATGTATTCTTTGTTAGAGATCGCTTATCAGAACTGTTGAATAACACAGAGTAGCTTAGGGTTGCAAACAGATCTCTTTTCGGTAGTTCACATGAGGCAGTTACATTTACAGCACTGATAAAACCAACAGTAAGCTGCGAACCGATGAGACGGTTTGAACAGATTTAGCACATTGGTTCGATGCTCAAATCGATCTAATCAAGTGACGCCGCGACAGGACTAACAGACTTGCGCAACAAAAGAACTTTGGTTAACGGAACAAGTAAAAATGCCAAATAAAAAGGTAAAAATATAAGCAAACACCTGCTTTTCCGTAATGTTCCAAGGGGACGATTTCTCGTCAGGGCCATGACAAAGTCAGCGGATACACAAGCCTGCATTGCTGGCATTGTTAGCCTGATCGCCTCAGCCGTCTGCAAGAGGCGTTTCCTCAACTCTTTCGGGTCTCACTTCGGTACGGCATGGTAAACCTTGAATGCATCTTCGTTCGAAATTTGGAGCCCACTTTGAAGCTTATGTTCCAAGATGGAATTGTTGACACTACTGCGTTACGATCGTAGCTACAGGCAGTGAACCGAAGAGGAGAGCGCCACTGACATACAGACTGCATCTCATGTACTGAGAATTCTGACCACCTCTGTTTTTTTCATACTCAGCAATTTTTGATATCCTGCCGTTTTTCTTGTCGCTGTGTTACGGACGCTGCATAGATACATCAACTGTTTTCTTTTCAACTGAGGCCGATATGTGCGCCACATGACCTGTAAGGCTCAAGATTTCCATCTAACCTGCTGCAGTGGCAGAGTGGTTAAAACTGACGAGTTTTCCCTGAATTTTTTCTTTATTGCCGGTGGCTAAGTAGACTGCACTCCTGACTTGCAGTCATATAGGGTCACCGGTTCGAATCCGCAAATGCGCGGGCACCCTCGCGGTATACTCAGCCCACGCGCGACTGCTGGTAGTAGCGCGGCAGCGAAGCGCCGTTACAGCGCACAACTGGCGCTTTAGTATTATTTTTGTTTGCACGCACATATGGAATATCCATGTTACACGCACATTCAAGTCTCTCGATAGTCTATTGTACCATATTTTATCCTATTTTAATTAGAAAAATCTTTCGGAATCAGCAACACGCACAAAATTTGCCACGCACTGCGAGGAAGGCAAGCATATAATGGAACGATTCCGGTCGATCATGGAAACCGCTTATGAGACGGCTGTGGAGGAAAAGTAAGTCCGCAACGTCAACAAAATAGCCACAACACATTTAAAAGAATACTGGATTGGAATCCATCGCTGTGGATTTATTCAGCCAGTTGCTGGGACTTGTTCCTGCGCATCTGCGTTTGCAATCTAGCGACTGTTCCTACTGACGAAGGAGGAGGAACTTGAACTCTGGCAGATCCGGGAAGTTCACTTTAATGGGAACCCTGAAATCGAGTATTTTTTGCCTGAATTATTGGGATCTGGCTGCGTATAACTGTGACTAAATTTAGACATCGATGTAAACCCCACGCTACTTTATGGGCTCTTGATCGTTCCCACGTATCTTCGATGCAGTTTTTATTGCATTAGACCCAATCGTGCTCCATGCATGTGATAGGTCGATGTTAAGGGAGCCCGATCATTGACTTACTTCAAGTATGTTTCTATGCCAGTAGCTTCAGCGGAATATCCGACCAGACCAGCTCAAATTTCATTAACCAGGAGTTCGTATCTCAGATTGCTTTCCGTCGGAGTCTGCCAAGGACATCACAGTTGGTTTCAGAAGGTTTCGCATGCAAATCAGTTTATGCAGGTTTTTATTGTGGCAACATTTCACTGTTGATGCAAGCGTTTCTTCAAGCCACGTCTTGCGTCAAGAGCGAAACATTGTCACAATATAAACCTGCAAAAACCGATTTACATTCATAATCTTCTGAAATCATGAAATCCCAGTGAGTTCCAAACTTATTCCGAGATATTGACATTGCTGTTGACCTAAAACCAGAGAACGAAAGTGTTTACCTGTCTCCGATACATTCTCACGCCATGAAGCTTTCCTCTAGATTAAATCTTTTGAGCAACACAACCGAAGCCGTTTTGTCTATGAACAACATTGCTTTTTCCGGGGCTCGCTTGACGGCTTTGGGGAGGTCATTGTTTTCTGACGTGTTTTTACCGTGATTCGTATGGCTGTTTTAGGTTATCCGTGTTGTCTACGGAAACAGACTAGTTGATGTTCCTGTTAAATGAGGTTTCGTTACAGGCTTATATTCTTTTTACTGGTAGGGTGCAGTCAATATACGTAGCCTCTGTTCTCCTTTTTGTCGCAAAACGAATCGCAAGGGTGGTACTACCACGTCAGGGAAGTAGCTATGATTCAAACATCTTGGTGCAATTCAGCTTGTCGCCATAGCTCCCGTCGCCGGCCCGTGGCTTAAAGGATTACAAGCCTCCCTTGTAAACCGAGGGCGCGGTTTCGAGCCTACATTGTCGGCCGGACGACCCTCGCATTATCCGTAGCCGACCCGCGACGGTCGTTGCGCGGCAACAAAGCGTCGGCCCTGCGTACCGGCGTACTGCTGATATCATAACTCTCATCACTTGACTAACAGAGAGTGATAAACTTGGTAAAATGTGGGGAGTATGCGAAGAATGAGAAAACCTAGCAGGGATCAGATGTTGTGTTGTGTCAAGTTATTGATGCCCATGGAATTGCTAACATCTAGTGGTAAGAAACCGAACGCACAAATACCGTTGACTTCAGCGGCCCCTTTGGTCTCACGAATACTGCTTATTCTTGATGCCAAGTGCTAGACCCACCAGCATTTATATTTTTTATCTCAGGCGGATTACTTCCCTTTGATAACTCAATACCTCTATTACTGTCCAGTTGCATCACTCTGAACCAACAACACATTTCGTGAGCTTTAGGTAGTAACCTTCTCCAGCACAAAACATTGTTAGCAACTACTTTATGTTTCAAAGTCATTCCACTTGATTGAAGGGTTTTCGGTGTTCCTCACTTCCAACACTGCACCATGCGAGCGGTTTCGTTCTCGTTCAGACTTTTCAGATGGGAAGTAGCCTTAGCTGGGACTGGAACTCCGTACATACCTCTTAACGGCTGACTCCTCAGGCCCATTTTAATTTCAGCACTTTACTGATAACATTACTGTCAGGCCTAGCGGTTTCGGTCCGCTGTCCGAACGTTGCAAATCTAATCATGGGTTCAGCTTTGCACATTGTTCTTCTTCCTAAAACCACGATTGCAGAATTGTCCGAGAAATCTTTTACCCCACTGTTCTTTGCTCAGACCATGTGTTTAGATGTATCTTTGCTCCGTCGTTACACTAGGCATTGTACGAATAAATTAGAACGCAGTATGAAAACGTTCTCCATGACTGTTTGAATGCATCCAACCGTGGGTCAAATATATGGTTGTTAAGCGTCAAGTTATCCTCCACCAAACGGTATTGTATAATTTCCCTATTTCTTCACCCTAACACAGCATTTCTATACTGTCACTGATCTTCCTTGAGTTCCCGAATTATGGGTATTTGTAATGCGTTCAGCAGGCGCTGGTTACTTTGCTAGGGAATTCAGACAGGCCAAGTCAGGATAAGCTTTTACGTACTCGGATGGGTGCATTTAAGAATTTTATGCTATCGAATGCGAACGGTAACACTAGAAATGCAACATTATGTGAACATAGCGACAAATAAGGCAAAAGTTGCACATAAGTCTCCCAGTAACCGGTTCCGCATCACTAAACAGTGACTGCACATTGCTGTTGGGAATCACAACGATTTGTATCCTGTTGACAAGCCAATGTCTAAGGCCAACGAACGCTATGCTTCCTCACTGTGCCAAAATGTTTCCTGAAAATGTTTTTGCGTTTGTTCACTTAAAGGCTCATCCACTACCGTTCTGCAGACATTATTGTGGTCATAGATTAAAACGTCAGCCTGACTGTTTTCTGCGATGAACTCACAATAAAATTACATAAAGCATCAACTATTCGTGAGTAATCGAACTCCCCATCATAACGGGTAAGTGCTGCGTCACACAAATTCGATATGCGAGATCGTGACTATCGTGCGGCCGAAATGTGTCCACCGCACATTGTGCACCCTGAGAAAACCCCGAGGAATTCTAAAGGCAGTACGGAGATCCAATGGGATCTCGCACGATGCACTACGCACACAAGTGTGGCGTCTGTGTACCCCAACTTGCACAGCGCTTCACGCGATGTGGCGCAGACTAGGGATACTTGAACGATCGATACATCCTGGGCTTGTTTGAGGACAGAATGTTTCGCGGAAAACTGGATGCTTGTGGGCTCTGTACTGACGGATGTTTAGCCGTTGCAGTGAACTTACTGTTACGTACAGGGTCTACTGTGATAAGATATATGGACATCGCGTTGGCGGACGAACGTACAGGTGGTGCACAACTGCTGGTATTTCGTCTCAGCTATGTTCCCATTAAAGTGGACAGACTGACGTACACGTGAGAAATAACTTTTCGATGTGCCCGTATTTGTATCAAAGGTAATGGTAAAACACAGTTACGGTGGGCACGCCGGTAGGCTGAAAACGAGCTTCCGAAGAAACACAGTAGGAAAAAAGCACCACTTACAACTAGACTTTTTACATTAGGAATAATAACGACTTGCTTTCCTGTCTTGTATCGTGTGTAGACTTCCCATGGTTGTAACGGCGATCACAACACTTAACCTGCTCGCGATCGCACTCACCAAGCAATTAGTGCAGAATGCTGTCATTTGCGTGCAGCATTTTGTCTAATCTTGTGAGTGCGCGACATACCTCACAGTGATTCTCATGATCTCACTCACAACTTCAACCCCTGAGAACGGTTGTTATCGGTTTGAGGTGCATTGGATCAAACACGTACCAGCGTCACAGCAAGGTACGCATTCACCCGCCAGTGAGGTGTGTGCAGTTTGTCCTAACCATGGGACGCAAAGATGCACGATGGAACTAGCAGAATTTACGCCGCATAAGTGAATCTACCCAGCTAAAAGACCGAAACTCAGCACACCTGTCTCTCGGTCATTTGGATAGCAACCCACAAAGGTAGACATGGCGGAGCATAATATTGATCACCGAGGTTGCAAATGTCCACCTGCATTCTGACTACAGTACAGAAATAGCTTGATGCAGTTAGCAAGTACTTGCTGCGAACGGGTTAACAGTTCTGACCGCCGTTACAACCATGGGAAGTCTACGCACGATACAAGACGGTCTGTTTTTAGTAGAAATAACAAGAACAAACCGGTAACGTGCCAAACCTTTTTCCGTGTAGAAACCTTAAAATTTAACATAAAGTGAGGTCGACTGCGCACTCTCAGATTGCTCCCTATTACAGAACAGCTACATTGGGGTTAACTACATTCTCCTACTAATACAATTTTGGTAACATTAATAGTATATATGATAATGAAGCCCTGATAAAACCATGGTAAATTTTGCATACTTCACTCTGAAGCTGACCGAGAGACCTGATCAAGCAGGGGCCTTGTGCTAGTCCAAACCACTATCGGACGTGACACATTATCCGAGTCAGTGCTGCCCCTGGATTTATTCTCTTGCATGTAGCTGTTCATACTTCAGTGTGATTAGCCTCATGCACCTCATTCTTTCTTCCATTTTGATAATATCATATTTAAGTCTAATCGCATTTACTTACCATTCTTCATTTTTGCCACTCTGGCGACGCGATTCGTGACAACTGCATCTACAACACTTTGGTGCCCGGATCATGATTCATCAATTGCACTAAACTGAACGGAAACGATCGGGTAATCTTTAAGTATCGTGATTTATTTAGGGAAAGAGAAATTCCAGATAGAACTTGGCTCACTTAACAGGAAAGCAAAATACTATCAAGTCGTTATTATTCCTAATGTAAAAAGTCTAGTTGTAAGTGGTGCTTTTTTCCTACTGTGTTTCTTCGGCAGCTCGTTTTCAGCCTACCGGCGTGCCCACCGTAACTGTGCTTTACCATTACCTTTGATACAAATACGGGCACATCGAAAAGTTATTTCTCACGTGTACGTCAGTCTGTCTACTTTAATGGGAACATAGCTGAGATGAAATACCAGCAGTTGTGCACCACCTGTACGTTCGTCCGTCAACGCGATGTCCATATATCTTATCACAGTAGACCCTGTACGTAACAGTAAGTTCACTGCAACGGCTAAACATCCGTCAGTACAGAGCCCACAGGCATCCAGTTTTCCGCGAAACATTCTGTCCTCAAACAAGCCCAGGATGTATCGATCGTTCAAGTATCCCTAGTCTGCGCCACACCGCGTGAAGCGCTGTGCAGGTTGGGGTACACAGACGCCGCATTTGTGTGCGTAGTGCATCGTGTGAGATCCCATTGGATCTCCGTACTGCCTTTAGAATTCCTCGGAGTTTTCTCAGAATGCGCAATGTGCGGAAATTGACGGTGCGTCTATGACAATCGGTGGACACATTTCGGCCACGCGGCAGTATCCACATCGTCTGCAGTTTGTACCTTACACGGCAGTTGGGAATGAGTTGAGCTAAGTTACAGGTTAATTGTTATCCATGACGGTTCGTTGCCGTCCCCCGTCGTTTATTCGCATAGCAGCTAGGTAATAACGTTTGTCACTGATGGCGCGGCACCATGGCCCCGTTTCCGACGGAGCCAAGGATGCGCAGCACTGACTGACTGGTTGCAATATGACGAAACGACCATCTGGGGCTTTTACAGATGCGTTGTAGACTGACTTGGAAGCTAATACGATGGACACTGAATTTGTTTAAGTGAACGGCCCGCTATTCACGAGTACTTGGCATGTTTTCACATTTGTTGGCATTCTTTGTGGCGTTCGTGTGCGCGAGGCGCTTCCGCTGTGCGCCTTGTCATTGTCCAACGTACGTAGTCATCACCAGTAACTCAAAGTGTTTCCAATGCCGGCTGTGTGTACCGATAACTCCCTACGTGTTACGAAACTTGTGTGCACGATGGTGCCGGCGGTGCCTTGTTTAGGCTTAATGCACGTATTGTGGTCCCCCAAGATCGTTGCTGTCACTGCACCAACGAATGTGGTGAGTTCTTTTGTAGGCGATCTTGAACGAAGCTGGAAGACTTCTAAAAGAGCCATTGATATCCATATTTGGTTTTTGTTCTACTTCCATCCTCGTGGACACGGCTTTTATTTCACTGCTTAATCCGCTGCGGACGAGTGAGATGACGCCAAGCGGTCATTCTTTCCTCTTGCCTCATTGACTCGTTTTTATCCCAACTACCCACACAGAGATGCTGCAGTTCGCTGTCGCTGCTTATCTCAAGCGCACCTGGAGGAAGTCCGGTCGCGACTTCATCGCATCGGACAGGCCCTGGAGGAGATGATTCACACTTGTTTGGCTCGTGTGGAGGCCCAAGTCTCAAGCGCACTTAATGGTGAGATCAGAAGGCTTGGGGAACTGGTTGATGGTTACTCCCGCCCATTCCATTCTGATCCGGCGATGCTGTTGCTGTACAAGCGGGAATTGAACACTCATGTGGAAAGGGAACTGGGTCGGAAGTTAACGGAGGCTTGTTCAAGCGACATTCTGAACGAAGTAGCACGATCGGAGCAAATCATGATGTGTATGTTTGATTTTTTGCTTGGTTTCACGTGAGGGCACTTGTTTTTGTACAACTTCCTGTTCTCAATCTCTTTAGTTTCTTGCTACTTTCCCGCGCCCCTATGTCTGTTGACGCTTGCGCTGCAATTATATTATTTTATCTTTGTTGCGTATCAGTAAGAAGGATAGAACTTTTCATTTCTCATTTCAACGAAAGTCTATTTCCATGTAGGATCAGGCCACACTGTACAATTTTCGTGTTTCACGGTTGGCCCAATATGCTAGATGTGACAGAATTTTTGGACAGTGTGTTACTGTCCGAACTTTTCACCCTGCTCAGTTCCGTGAAATTTTAAACGCCTTTATCAAGATTAATGGACCCGTTGCGATATTCGCATATGATCTTGTCAGCTGAGTGAACTTAATTAATTGATTGGTATCTTCTTAACTAGGTGAGTCACGACCCAGCAAAGCTGATCCGATCGTAAGATACAAAAACAATGCAAACTGAATTTACATAGTTGTTATACGAGAACAAATGTAATTCCTTTTTCGTTGATTCGTTCATCATTATTTTCGTTTCACCAGTCTTCTTAATGGATGACGGTTGCGAACTTTCCAGACACGGTTAGGCGGAGTGTTGCAGTAAGAGCATTATTAATGACTAAGCACGTAAATAACAATATGTCCATTGCAAAATGTGCTTACCTTTTTGGTTCTCATCCTACCCGCCATCATGTATTTTCTCGTCGGGTCACAGGGAAGCGGTTAATGCTTTACCTAAGAAAAATATGAATATAAAGTACTTAAGGTTGTATGTTGTAAAGAATACAAAAATAAATTGAACCGAGGATATCACTTACTGGGAATATGTATATTTCCGTTCTAATACGTTTGATCAGTTGCATTTGTTTGGGAGCTACTTAGGATTTTTGGATGTTGCTTGCGGTCGCCACACGACCAACGAAGTGAATAAGTAAAAGTTGAGTTGGGAAGGTAGGAATCGGTCATTCCCTCCTTTCATCACACCTTTGGAGTCTGGAACCTGTAGACTGATATGGCCGAGTCAAATGTGACTGAACCTTGAGCATGAGGGCTGAAAAGCACACGGGTTTGACTGCCCCATTTTAACACCTATTTGATCCCGAGGTTGGCGTAATCGAGTAAGAGACAATCGGACCGTGAAAGCGGAGAATGTAGACACATGTTCGGTTGGCTTCTCCTTTGGGTTTGCGTTTATAACACTACCCGGCTCACTTACTGCTTGCCGTTTCTTCATATCTCTTCGGGCCGTTAGCTTGTTAACAAACTTATGTTTATTCACTATCAGAGCCAGTTTACACGTTAGATGGACTTGATGTGTTGCACTAGATGGTTCGGCTACTAACCAGATAGCTACTGCACATTCCGCCCGGTTCGTTGTTATCTTCACCTTCAGTTTCCGTATGGTTTCATCTACCTGTTTGCCAACATAAATTTTACACCACTTTGGAAGACAGGCTTAAATAGCTGCTTATACCGTTTTACTCGACTATCACTTATCCTAGACTGCGAACGGATAGCAGATTAATTCATTTTGAGTTTATTCTACAGACTGGCCTCTCGGTTTGTTTTGTTCGCATTTGCACAAAACAGCAGTCTTGCTCTTCGGATGGGTGTTAAGCTCTGGTTACTGGTAATCCAACACAGTTGCTTACAATGATCGTGACATCTTACTTTGTTTTGAAAGGCAGTCATAATTAAGTGGTCTTTCCATCATTTCTTTTCAATGCCTTAACTATCTGCGACTGACACTTCTCTGTACTCTATTCGTCAACCAACCATCAGTAATTTCAACTGATGTCCTATGAACTACCTTACAATAAGAAGGGAATTTAATGGGCGGACATACGTTGTCAAGGCACACAGATCTCATCAGCAGCATACGATCACAAACAGCTGTCTATCATGTTGAGAATAAGCTTCCTCGGCGAGGCACCTTCCTCGCGACTTCCACTGCTCAGCGTCATAAACAGCCTTGCCTTCGCTCCTGCAGAGAACTTAGAATCAGACAGTCCGACTAGGAAACGACACCTAATACGCCATTGATACTGACTATGAGCTATATTCTGTAAATTCTCTAGCCCAGCGCTGGGTTATTCGCAAGGCTTCAAGCCTGGGAAGCGAGATAGACCTACGGCACATAGTTTAATCGTCAGCTTCATCCCGATGTCGCGATCATATAGATAATACCTCTCAAAATGGGACAGGATACGAAATACTGACGCGACCCAACATTTCGAAACTGCAGTCTAGTGTGGATGACTATCTGATTTGGAAGCTGCTGCGCCGAACTGTAAATTAAATACACAAAAATCTCCTCATGAGGACATCATAGTATTTGCTCTGACACTTTCTACTTGCTTCTATCATTAGAAGTCGTGTCTTTCGGACTAACTTTGTCATCTGCAGCCTTCGTAACTTACGTGGTAGTGGAAAATAAGACTCACTATATCGCAGTTAGCTTATAAATTATGGCGGTCCCTCGCTGCTCAGTGGCATAAGCTGCTGACTGGCGGTTCAAGCCGCTGGTGCTCATCGGATGGATTCCTAAAGGACTCGATGGATGCGCACGACCGCTAAGGCCCAGATGGTCGAAACTGCAGTCTCATGGATTTTCGGGTGTGTAGTGTTGCGGAACTCAGTCCTTCAAGGAGAAGCATTTATTCAGCAACATCAACTCAACGCGAATTACAGCATGTTTAGACAAGCCGAACATCCATAACTAACTACCCTGCTGAGTCAATGAGAATCTTCCTTTGACTCAGTTAAACAAACGGTAAATAACCCACACGAATGTCGGTCACTCCCTGTCCGGTAACCGTTACGTCCGTCTCCCATTGGCTGTCTAGCTTGCTCGGTTGGTCGATCCGTTCGCTCTGATCTGACACCCCCATCACATATATGATTATCTGATTTGGAGTATACGAACCCTCAGTTAATATATGTGTATGTAAATAACTAGATATTACTAGCAGTTGTATTCTTTAGATATCAATTTCGCGCGTTATTAAAGCTCATAAGAAATCGCATGGCACATGGAAACACCAATTTCTCATGGCTTTCATGTGGCGTTCATTATATTTGCATAACCGAGCTGTTCACTAAGGATATACATCCGAGTAAGAAAAGTTTGGCCCCGTCCTACGTTACACGGAGTTTTCTTCTCTCTTCCCTGTCCTGCTGGAATGGAAGTAACCCCAGAAATAAGATACGTTTTTTTGCACATCGTTATGTATGGTTTGTGCATACCGTCTCATTTTCCTGAGTTCCCTTTCCATTCGGATTTCCACACAACTGCATTTTTCCTAATCTGCATTTTTCATTGTTCGCTTGTCGCTAGCCAAACTTGCTTCCATTGTTACTGATGAAGCACAGAAGAATCGAATCCTCCAGCTAGTCGATCCCACTGCTTTCCAACCAGAATTCCACGTGGACTGTCGCAACTTGTGCGCTGACTTCCGTGAGGATATTCAGTTCCGATTCAGTCTTGGCTTGGGAACTCTTTTCCAGCGGCTTTCATCTCCTCGACGGCAAATCGGACAGGTTTGTTACTTAGCAGTGTGGTTCACATTCATGAGATTCGGTGCTTTGTGGCACGACGTATTTCCTGCACTTTCTCCTTTAAGCAGTTCCCACTGCAGAGCTGTATTATAGCCGACTGTTCACGATTTGAGCCTAAAAAGTCTGTAAAATATGTACTTTTTCTCTGTAGCCCGCGTTATTTTCAACTAAGCGCTTATACCTCCACTCCAGTCCATATATGTCATTCTGTGATGTGTGGTGGCATCCACTTCCGGATTTGCCTGTCATTAAGGCCGCGAACAGCCACAGGATGCCTGTGTCTACTGCGAGAACGTGGATGGCTTGCGCTGCACCACCCACAACTCCATTCACACACTTTTCAGACCCAGTGAAAGCCCGAAAGTATGAGACTTGGACGCATGCGGCTGGGAGCCACGTTTCATCGCAGCCGGTCTACGCTCTTTCCGATTCACATCATTCATTCACTTGAACATGGTGAATCATGCGTACCGGACGTATACAAGACAGTGACTAGACTGTAGCCCGTTCTACACTGGATGGAACCACTCTTTGAGCGTAGCATAATCACGAAGACTGTGCACCCCGTCTCCCCCACCGCCGATTAATAGTCACCTGAAGCCAGTATAGTCGAGGTGGCGGTTTTCAGCAAGGGAACACTCGCTCCAAGCGCAGCCAGAACAGGGATATCAATCAACAATGCGCACCTGAATTGCAAGAAAATTAATACGGAGACAGGCACATATACAGACCAACTGCAGCGATGATGTAGCACACGTGCCACATCTACCGCATTATTGGTGTGTTAGTAAATGAACTCGGACGCATCACTGGTAGTTACCTCTTCAGCTTACCCATCGCTTACATGACAGACTTAGCTGTGGCACTCACGACCGCGTGCTACAGCACCATGTGCTTGAAGTCGAAAAGCAGGGCCCCATCGGTGCCTGTCGCTTGCGTGACGAAGTAACATGAATCATGTCGTGATACCTTAGCTTTGGTTTGCCCACGTTCCGCTTCCATGCAATAGATGTTTCGGTATCCTGGCCGCGTTCATACAGTGGACATGTCCGAGCCACCACATGTATCGCAGTAGAAGTATGCAATGCATTCCACAGCCGCCACTTCCATATTAGGATCTCGGCCACATCAACGAATGCGAAGAATCCGGTGTAGTACTACAGGTGAAGTCATTCCAGATAGCAGATTTCCTTCTTGTACAACGGTGTCGCTGCTTTACGGAAGAAACGATAGTGCCATTGATTTGTATACCATCAGGTTGATTTCAAAACGCAGGTGGTGGTTCCTACACACCCGATGTTCCAGCTTGTCAAATGCAGCACATGCCTACGATACGCCGATGTTTAACTCACTGTTCATCTTCAGCGTGATCCCGAGGTAACAAAATATTGAGAAGTTTTCAGAACTTCGCCAATAGTTTTGATTTGCAGACAGCCCACGGATTCCTTTCCTGGTGACTTCTGAAGAGGCCAAACATCTTTGCTTGTGTAGATTGGGACTTTGAACTTGGCCTCCATGGAAGCGAGATTCATCGTTTTACTTTGTTACTCCTATTTGATGGGTAGAAGCAACGCGCAGTCGTCTGCAAACAACCACATCTGGATGGTTGTCTCACACACTCGCATTCTTGCCTCGAAAGGATGGATGTTCAGCGACCCACCGATACAGTGTTCGAGTCGGACACCATAATCACAGGCATTGAAGGGCCTAGAGATCAAGGTGGTTGGATAAGTATCAAACTGGGTGGAGGCTATGACCCTGTCTTGACTAACACCAAAGGCAACATCAAAGTCATCCGGGGTTTCTCCACATAACTACACCCTCTCTTGCATACCACTGTGCGAGTACTCAATAAGAATAACAAACTTTCCTGGGAAATCAAACTTACTCGACACTAGCCACAGTGTCCCTCGATTCACCGTGTCAAATGTATTGGTGAGGTCCATGAACAGAGAGTACAATGGCTGCTCTCGGTCATGACACTTTTCGTGCAATTTCATGGTGCTGCGGCCCGAAAGGAATCCGTAGGTCTCTTCCTCCACATTTGGTACAAGGATCTGCTTGGCGAGGCGGTTGAGAAGCATTCGGGCGATTACTTTAGCCACACAACAGCAAGTTGATCCCACGATGCTTATTGGCACATTGCTTGCTTCCTTTCCCCTTGTTAGCTAGTAGCACAAGGGTCTCCTTCAATTCAATTGGCACGGGTTCCTTAACCCACACGCGTTCCATCCAGTGGTACAACGCATATAGAATCACGAGTCCACCGTTCCTCAGGCGGTATCCTATGAGCGACGTTGCACTTTTCGTTTCACTGCTGTGCATGAAATCGACAAGACCCTTCTTCTCCTCTTGTTGTTGCAGCCCGTGCAACGTGTCCCACTCAATCTTTGAACAGTTGTTCAAAAGACAATGGAAGTGCTTTCGCCATATCTGCTTGCTTGTATACATCCACCAGCGTCATCAGTGGCTGCAAGATGAGTCCCTACCCTGCCTTCATGGAGTCATAGAACTCCTTATGTTAGCGACCTTCGGCGTAGCATTCCATTTGCTCAACTCTCTCCGTCCACCATGCAATATTGGTGCGACGGAACTCTTGCGTCAATTGCCGACCCAGCTTGTAAACCTTCCCCTGAGCCGTAACGGTCCTCTCATGCGCACAAAAGCTGCATTCTTCTCTGACACCAATGCACCAATAGTCGCACTCTTGTCATCATCAGGACGCTTATAGTTTGCGCGCCTTATGTTTTCCTCTTCAGTGATGCTCACGTGTTCTTTGATGTCGGACCCCAGGTCGCCGACTGAAGCGATGGAGTCGATATCACCATGGCTTATCGCCATCGCGTTCTCTAACCTGTCCTTCTTCTCAGCATTACCTTGAAGACGGGCAGGGAAGTTCCACTGGTTCACGCTAAAAGAACAATACATGAATTTACAAAATGGGGGCACAGCTCGGTTCACACTAGTTTGTGATCAGTTCTACAGTCAGCTCCCTGCAGTACACTTGTCATGCGTACTTACGCATCTCACTCTGGCGTACGATGTCACAGTGGAGTAAGTGAACGTGGCCACTCCGTGGGTACATCCAAGTAGCAATATCACTCGCACCCAGTACAGCCTGTGTGTTCATGATCGTTAGGCCGTGAGAACAACCGGCCACCGTTTTCATTGGCAGTCAATACCATACATCTGTCCACACTGCGGCATCAAGCTTAACGCGCGCGTTGAAATCACCCAGTAGGAATAGCCGGTCGCTCCTCGGCCAGGGCCATATCACGTGGATACCTGAGAGTAATGTTGATTCTTTGTCACATGGTGGGACCACACGTGCTAATAAATAATGCTAACTTACCTGCCCGAGGCGTAGGCGAAATGTCTTCAATCTCGGATTAATGCTATTCGGATGTTACATCAGATGATCATTTCGGCTGTCGGGTAGTACAAACCTGACCCCATGTTTACGTGCTGATGTGATGACGCTTCCCAGTCAGCAGAACATATAGCCAGCGCCGTCGTTGTGCAACTTACCTTGGTCAGCAGTCCGAGTTTCATTCAGTGCGGCCATTGAAATGCCCTAGCAACCAAATTCCATCGCGACCATTGCAGCGCGTCGCTCGGGGCCTATTCGCATTCCGATCCGGCAATGTGTGTACGTTCCGGCATCCGATCTTGAGCTCTTTCCACTGAGACATGCGGTTGCGCCGGGAAATCGCTGGTGTTACTGGGGCGGGTCAAGTATAATTTGGAGCGGAAATGGTAGAAGAAAGAATACCAACATGCTTTTGCTTATCCATTTCGCTGTATGATACCGGTAAGACCACTCTTTCTCCCCACTGCGCAACTGTCGATGCAGTATCAGCTTAGGTCTATTTGTGCTTATCGTTTTTTAATTGGATTGATGTACTGCTAAGTCGTTCACAATTGAACAGAAGGACTCGAGTCGCCATATACAAAACCTTCGATTAAATGTACTTCCGAAAGATAACTGGCTATGCTTTGTGGGTCAGTGAACGGACTCACGCAGAATTTTATCCTGCCCTTTAGTTCAAAGAAGTGTACAACCCGACTCCTACCCAGCGATCACCACTGCGTGGCGTTCAGAGCGTGAATCCACGTTAGAACTGCGGCAGTAGCGAGTCAGCGATCTGTCAGGTTCTCGTCACCACAAACTTGGGCGAACCATGAATTTTGCTGTATATGTATACATATGGAAATGCGTTCCGATGGTGTGGAAAATAACGTTTCTGATATACGCCAAAGTGGACGTAAAAAGAACAAGTGTCAAGAAAGCAATGGTTAACTTAGAGCACTGTGATGCACTGAATGGATTGAGGTTGATTAATACTGTGAAATACGAGGCCATTAAGCAGAGAAGGCCGGTGACTACTTACAAATTGCAGCTACACCCGTGTTCGCACACCTTTTACCTTGGAGACTCCTTGCTGCTTGCGCCCGGCACCGCACTTCACAGCCGTTTCTTCCTTGCTTGGGCTCCTCAGGCACGCTGATCAAGCCTTGCGCTATCTCTGCACAATGAGCCTATGCTGAGACGAAAACAGAGCACTGTATTGTGCAATCCAACAACACCGCAATCCCCGCCATTTTGCTACAATCCCAGTGATCGAGATGGTTGACTTTCATTTCAAGTAAATCATCTCGCGGTTCAAGTGCGCGACATGTATTCCAAAAAAGCAACTATGCCGTGACCGTATTTCAAATACACTGATGCATTAATGTTAACGAGAGTTGTCTGTTTAACACGAAGTGGTAAGGAAATGGATAATAGATCATATGCAACGAAAAGCGAGAAGTCACCGATATTCAGATGTACCCGGGGAATGTGGATCAATTAGAGAAATCGTTTTTTTGCCTGTCGGCTCGTTTTTTTAATGCTTATTGACTCAACGTGCTCATGTAAGAAGCTTGGGACTGGGTTTCAAAGTCACCTCATTTTTCTCTATTCATTCTATTGATGAGCATACACACCCACTGTATCGTCACTGCTCACTGCCCTACACGCTGCAATCCTGGTCGTCTTCCGCGTATGTTATTCCGCTTTATAGTGACAGTTACCGGAATATATTTATCTCCTTCTACCCAACTATTGTCTTCCAATATCTTACGTACAGTCTAGTTTTAACGACAAACTTTGATCATCATCTACGTTTCGTATGACGCTTAGTTTGTGATCGGTTCCGTTACCTCAGCATACACCATCTTCGGCCGAGTGGCCTACGCGCTTGGTTTGCAACCATAACGTCACCGGTTCGAATACGCGTTGGGGTGGGCGTCATCGCGGTCTAATCAGCCCACGCTCGACTGGTGGTGGTCGCGTGGCAGCGAAGCGCCGTTACGGCGTACAGCTGGCGATTTATTTATTCATTATTTATGTGCTGAATCGACGCTATAGCGACTATACGAATCTAAGATCAAGTCATCACACGATTCGTAATGGGAAAACTGTGGGCTAGTGAATCTGTACTAACGATCTGGGTAGAAGAAATAAAATGTGAATTCTTGTTGTCGTCATTCTACAATGCAAATAAAGTCGGTACTCAACTAACGAATAGGTTAGCAAACATAGTGAGAAAGGGCGGAAACTAGAAGACGTGCGGGAACGGTACAGCGTAGCAGTTTTTTAATCAGCAGTCCGTCAAGCTTGAAATATTTGACCTTGAAGCGTCAAGAATATGCCGATGGTGCGAAGTGAACACCTAAAGTGTTTCATAGTACATGTGTTCAAAGCAAACCTGTGCAAATTTCTGCAACAAAATAAATGAAAGGTATGGGAATAGATAATCCAATTTGGCGGAATGATAAAAGTTCACTTTAGTCTTTGCAGACGCCTTGTTTTAATGAGTCGAGCACCTGCCATCTCATGCATTTCAGCTGTGCGAGCACATGGGTCCTGAATCTGCTAGTCAAGACCTTATTCCACTAGTTTGTGCGATATCGAGACGTTGAATTGTTTAAGCCGCTTTATCATTTTGCATCGAATGTGGCGGTTAACACGTTTTTTTCTGATCTTCTAAATTACTGCCTGGTTATCCTGGTTTCGTATACTTTATGACCTCTGCCTCTTTCGATAGTAATTTATACTAGTGGTTTATCGGTTGATCCGTTTAACACTAACGACCCAGTTCCCTTAAGACCAGACCTCTACTGTTTCGTTTATGGTTACTAGTGCGCACGCACTTACACCTGGTTGGTGTTTGCATGTTTGTTTATATCCACCCGGAAGAGACTGCACACATTGAAAATAGTCGTGGTTTCACGACTGTCACTCCGTTCATTTCTGCTCATAACAATCATGTTTTTGCTTTGCTTCCACTCTCAGTACTCATGGTCCACAATCGCGAGTGGCTCCGGCAACACTCTTCTGCACTCTTCTGCATCCCCGTGGACTATCGACGTTTTCCCCTCCTTACTGAGTCGCAACTCCGTCGGTGCTGTGATAATTTTCGGTCTGGTGAGTGCCCTCGGCCTTCTACAGTTCATGTTGCTTCTTTGTGCCAACTGCCGTGATTATGTGCACCTGTTCGGCTCCGACACCATGCAGATGTAAATGTCTGTGCCAGCTGCTCACATATATTTTCTAGCGATGTCTGTCAGAACAGGTGATTGTTTTGAATTTTATCCATATTGTTTTCTTCTAAACATTTAATCCGTTGCAGGTTTCCAAAGCCGTCGGTTGGCGGGTTTTGGGTCTAATCGCTGGGCTCTATGGGGGTTTGTACGTATATGAACGACTTGCGTGGACAAACAAGGCCAAAGAAGCCGTATTCAAACGACAGTATGTGGATTTCGCATCACAGAAATTACGACTAATCGTCGATTTGACAAGTACCAACGCACGGCATCAAGTAAGCGTTGCGTTAATTTCGACTGTCAGTTACTAAAATTTTGCCCCCTCTCCTTGGTGTTCTCATGTCCTTACTCGTTTCGGTTGACCTAATGTGGCTATTTTCTTTGACTTCGATGCAGTTAACACGCCTATTTGTGACGCAGTGGTTGCTGAAAGACATCCTAAAGAAATGCCTTTCACTTCTGCTTTGAGCATCTAATGGCCCGTAGTAAGCGTTCTCGTGCGCCTACCATCACAAGTGAACTGCCTCAATGGCTCTATTTTTCCTTCGTTAGACTTTGTGATCGAATGGCCCATTCCTTTTTACCTCTAGCTGCAATAAAGTTCTACGTGTGCTCTGCTTTGCTTTTTCATAGTAATTATATAAGAGGCGTTAAGAGATGGGAAACGCGAACAACCCTGCCCTACAATTAGATCGGAGTAGAGATCAGACGATTGAAGCCACAACTGTCAACTGGGCAGATGACTACCTGTAGGCAGGCCATGTTGAATACACTCGCTTAGTATCGAAGTGGCCCATTCATCGGCTTCCCGCTTGGGAAGGCTACTTGCACCACTCGGTCTGTTTGGCGTTCATCTACCAAGTTCAACTAACTCTAAGAGTGATGTGAAGTCGAATCGCTTACACGCGATTTGACACTGGCGGGATCCATCGTGCCTCCAATTTTTCTGCTGCTTGGAGTACCGAAAGGGTCGTTACGACATCAGAGCAAGTCATTGAGGACTGGCTACGACTTTACGGCATCCACTTATTCCCTAAGCTTGCGGAGTTAGATCTGCCTTGCACACTGACGCACACTTTATGGCTCTGTAAACGAACTCATTCTCAGTTTCTTGCCGTTTAACTAGCTATGAGATTGCCATTTTGGATAGAAGAGATAAAGAACTCGAAGGTAAACATGCGACGGAGTTCTGTAGGTAGATCACTCTCCCATTTTACGTATACCTCGATATCGGTTACAACAAAACCACTGTTAATCCTTGCTTGACTGGTCTAACCCGCAAGACAGCAGGTTAACTGGCAGTTCAATTGGGATATTTGACTCTGGACTTGCATTGCAACTGGAACAACTTCCGACTGGGATGTGGAATTGCAGAGTCCGGATGGAATCTGCTTACAACCCTTAACATAAAACTTGGCATGCATTCATTATTTAATGTGTTTTCCGTCATGTTATTAATTGCACCACTGTCTCATGCTTGCGATTATAGATATCTAGCTTGACCTCGACGACTGCAAACTTGCGGGTATAGGTTGTGCTCTTCAAGCTGTTTAAATGTTCAGCAGGAACGCGAAAGTGCCACCAACTGCAGTTCGTTGTGTCGCAGGGGCTGAGACACAAGGCTATGTCGATGTTCAATCTCTTGGCGTTAGTTTTTCTCGAAACGCATGGGGTTGTTCGGTTGCTAAAACTGTATTGGAGTGTTAGGGGGACACTGCTCCCATCTCCCGACCAGCCTAACTACTCGCAAGCCTACAGGGCGAGACCCATCAATCAGGCAAGTTCACCTATCCACGCGCGAACTGCATGCTGATGGAATGCAGGCCTGTTGCGAAATAATTGTAATCTTCATTCGCATGCCTCTGAGTTTTACTGCACCAGGTTTGTACTGAAAATGTGTGTGGTGCATAGTAATCGTCTAAGGCTAGTTAAGGCTAATTCCATCCAAGCCACTGTCATTTATCTGTTTAAACCCATGTTCTGCTCCACGATTGCTTGTCCTCCCCACCGCTCTCTGTCTGTGCTTTTGTGGATCGTGAGGTACATTTTCTTTGTCTGTTTCACCTTAGGTAAAACGAGAACTCTTGATTTCGAAGAAAAAACTGACGGAGCAAGTTGATGTGTTCTCTGAATCGTTGGCAGACGAGGTGAAGCAACTCGATGCAGATATTGTCCATCTGGACTCTATCACTGCCGAGGCGAAGAAGTTGAAGTGAGTGACACCTGTTCATGCGTACATGTGTGCGATGATAGCGTTTTGTTATTTCCGTGGAATGGGTTTACGTTCAGTGACCGTCGCTGACAACCAATTTGCTGATGAATGCTGCGGCTATCTCAGGCATACATTAGATCCGGTAGAATACACACCAATCTGTGTATAGAATGGCTATGGTAAGTGCCCCTTAATCGTCTATTCGGCACGAAACAAAAGTCATGTTCTGGCCACCATCTTTCCTTTTATTATTATACGATGTCCTCAATGAGCCGGACTTAAGATGAAGCGGTTTGGTAGGTCAATCTAGGCTCAAAGCCATGTGAACAGTGGTCCTTTTGAGTCAGGACAATGGATAAGGTGATGGTCTAGCATTTGGAAACATGTTTTACGAGTGCGGCTTTATAAGTGAACTATTTATGATAGCATTTTTTATATGAATTTCCTTGCTTGGAAACAAATTACACGTGTTCACCATGAGGTGTTCGTCCTTACGCCTTGTCCAATGTTTCATGCCCATCTGATGGTTTCTTTACTCTGAGTCTTGCTGACGTCAGATGTGATCGATTGACACCGCTTCTGCTAGCTACATGCTTTCTGGTTCGTAAAAGTAGTAGTTACCTAAGGGGAGATAAAACGAGGCACCGCAGCGCAACGGCGATATCACTCAACTGATCAATGTCATCCGTACACGCCCCTTTTCATAAGTTATCCTCCACAGGAGGATGGAAGATACTATGGATCATATACTCGTTTCGCATTTTTACAGTTGTCTTCCTTTATTAGCCCTTTGCGGAACTGCAATTGAGGATTAGGTACAATGACGGAATGAAATCGGCCAAGTTTCCCCATTACTATGCCCAGACGACCGATAGCCTGGTACCCTGTTGCTTTGATCGAACATTCAATCTCTGGTGCTGATTATCTTTTCGTCTTTATTTAGTTATGTAGTTTTGCACAGTCCCCTTTTTTAGGAAACTTTTTGTGCCAACGCAGTAATCCTATTTCCCGCCACTGCTGCTGTCACAGTCTACGCCCTGTCGGATTGTAATCGTTATCACGCTGTCGTGTTTGGTCTGTTGGACTGTACAGTGTCACTGATCAGTAGAAACAACGGTGCTATATGGGCATGGTGCACTCCTCTAATTTTCTCCTTTGTCCCGATTACCTCGTATGCGTGCGAATTGTTATACTCAGCTGTTGACTGATTCGCGAAAATTATCAGCTTGTTGTAAAAATTTCGCCACCATGCGAGATGGCATCGTCATTGTGGTAAAACACGGAGTGGGTTCTCGCTGATTACCTTGTCTATTCTTGTTCACTGGGCGTGTGACTTTTGAAAGTGACATCTTCGATTTGCCCCCTGTGATGTTTGCGCAATATCTCAGGCAATTGAAGCGGTCGCACGAGTTGTTCGTTGCGTAACTCGTATCGAACTCTGCCTCGCAATTCGCCGGGGATCTTTCTGGGTTCTTGGTACATGGGGTCGATGTCTAAGGAGTACCAAGCTTCTGTGAATTCCCTTCCTTTTTTAAGTCTTTACTTGAGACAGATCATCTGTTTTGTTCCAGTCGAAACTGTCTCTCCTCATCCACATGCGCTGAGACCAGTACCGATGCATAACATATTTTGCAAGCCTTTCGACGTTTTTGTATCCTGATCGACACAATTTCCCAACAACTCGGAAAGAGAGATACTCTGCAATAAGAGAGGCAGAGTTCGAAACGAGATACGCAGTGAACAACCCTGACGACCCCTTCAGCTGCCAGAAAACATAGGTAAAGACTAGGAGGCACAAATCAAAGACGGACAACTCCATCAGCTAGATTACTCTCCGGTTTTCACCGCACTGAGGACGTCACCTCGTATGAACCAATTTAATCAAGCTGGACGAACCAGTCAATGGCTGGATAACCAAACCCGGCTACCAATGTTTCATATTGTTTTCACGCTCGCTTATTCCCTTCAATCTGTAAACTTTACTGTTCAATTTACGTCGCAACTTATGTATTATTGTTTGTTGAGGTAGCGTACCACCTGTTTGTGTCAGTCACAAACTTACTTGTGCGGCTGTCCCACTTCCAAAGCGTGGCAAACAATACTTTCCTTCTCCGAGCCTCATTACCAGCACACGGGAATCATCTGCTCGGACTCTGTCTTTCAACTAGATGGTTGCTATCGCTAATTCACATAACAGAAGCAACCATGCTAGTTGCTGGTTAGGAAACAGTGCGGCCTGTTGTATCTGACATGATTAACTCTCTCGAAGGATAATAATTGTTGGATTTGACGAATTCTCAGTGGGTCTTGAAGCTGTTTTTATCATAATGCTTGGGTTTTCTTGTCTTCGCTTTTTCATCTTATCTGCACGAATTCCATAACATCTGTTGGCTTCTGGTCTCCTTCCTAGGATTTAACCCTATGTTAGTCTTTTGACGTTCTGCCGTTTGGTTTTTGTAGACGACGTGGCTCCCTGGTTATGGTTTGCTGTCTTTTTCATGTTTACTTGATTCATCAGCCCCGCCCCGTTACTCCCAAAACTATATTTTCATCCTTTCCTTGTCTATGCCTTCTTTCTTTTCGTAGAAGCCGCGCAGGAAACATTCTCGGCTTGTTGAACAAATTTTACGATGTGTTTATCACGAACTTACGACACGAGTTGAACGCTTGAACAATCAACGCTCTCTTGGTCCTATTTGTCCTCTCGTAACCTTTCGTCTATGGCTACGGCCTACTCAGATGGACTCGCGCCGGCGACTTTGCCTCCAACTTTCGCTTTTAGTTCACACTGGCCGTGGTGTGTTGTAGTGCTTTGTAGACCCACGCGTCCTCCCTTTTGTAGGACACGTTTCCCATGTAACTAACCCTTATGTCTTGCAACACCGGTTTGCTGAGTTTTTTCAACTCATTCGTCGCAATCATTTGTGATTTCCATGTTCCTCTGGCGGGACGGCATATATAACCTCTATGCTTCTTGTCGACTTTTCTTTCAAATGCCCATGGGACTGCTTCTGAGAAGCTGTTATCTTTTATTAATCACTGTGGTTGATTATAGTATTGATTTTTCGGTAGGCCGCGTGTTACGTATCTTCACCAATCAGCATACAGATTCATCGATATTGCGTCTGTGGCTGCAGATGATACTGCCGACTGACAAGCCTACTCACCAAATGTACGCACAGTCTGGGTGATAAAATACGAGGACAGTGTGTGGCATAATTTTTACTGAATAAACTGTGGTTCTCCCAGCGTTTAGAATCACAGATACAGAGTTGACTTGTGGATATGCGAGTAGACTCGCAAACGAATGTAAAAGAAATTCAGTTTAGTTCAAACAGCGGCAGTAATGGAGGTTCCGTAAACGCAGAGCAATAAGACAAAGGACTGTAAACACTTGTGCTCGGGTTATAGTTAAAATGGCGGAAATGTTATATAAACAAACGTGTGAACACATGTATGAACGCGAATGTGTTATTCCGTTCGGATAATTATCACTTATGTTCCAGGCTGTCAATGTACAAATTATTGTAGGATAAAAATGTGGTGCGGTGAAATGTTAACTAAAAGTAAACTACTCATGATTTGTCAATACTATCCTTCAGCTTCGTGAATTGTAATTCACACTTCCCGGCATCTTCGGCTTCCGTTCCACCTTCTTCAGTGAGGGTCTCTTCTAATACACAGACGTGTCTCACATCGATTCCGATTCTTTGTTTGTTCGAACAATCACTCCTCGAACAAGTCCGTTGCGCCCGATCCTTGCTTCCTTGATAATGCCCTTCGGCCATAGACTGCTTGATGTGCGTACGTCTGTCACCAGTTTTCAAGCAACGCTTTTCTTCATACCACCTTTGAATGTTTGCAAGGTAGATAGATAACACAACCACCTCTTCCAAAATTCGTCTGACGACTGTTGCGCTTGGTGCCACTGCCTGGTCAGTCTGCTATGATTGCTCATTCCCTAGAGGTCAATAAGCGGTAAGATCAGCAGCTGGTTCGGTGATATGGCCCCAAACTTTCCGGGTGACCGGGGTTAGGTATCAGAGGTGGATGATTAATGATCATTTCTATCTGGAGAAATTCATCACTGACAATCTGTTCCCCATTCCTCACAGGAAGTATCGTTCGCATAGAACGAATGAGACCTTCCCAAACACCCCCGCAATAATTGCTATAAAGTAGTTTGAGTATCCATTCACAGTTCTTTTCTTTCAGTGACCAGAGTAACTTGTCTTGATTCCATGAGCGAGTTGATGTTTTTAATTTGCTTTCGGCTCCACGGAAATTTAATCTATTATCACTGTAGATCCTCAAGGGAACACCACCTCGTGAGACAAATCAAGAGAACGCGCACAGAAAGGTCTATCCATAGCACGGGTAATCTCGTTGTGTACTGCCCGTACTGAAAGACAGGTAAATACGCAACCGCAACGCTTTTCCGTTGTTCTTCGTCTTACAAGTAATGGTCCAAAATAGCCTGCCCCCACTGCTGTAAATTCTGGCTGAACTACTAAACAACGGCCCTAAATTAACACGGCCATCTGTTGACCACAGGCCTGAAGATTCCAGAGCTTACAACGAGAACAATCCCTCAGACTCTTCCGAAATGCCGTGTACTATCCAATAACGTTGGTAGTTCAGAGAGCACGTGGGGAGTTTCGATATGCCTGTTGCTCTCATGACGTTCTATGATTACGAGTCGAGTTACAAAGTGTCTAACTGGTGGTAGAATAGGATTTTTTGGTGTCGTAGGGCAATGGGTATCAATTAAATCTTCCACCTACTCGTAGAATATCATTGCACAAAAATGGACAAAGTCCCTTCAACGAACTGGATGAAAGTTTAAAGCGTCCAATCGATTCATTCGGCTGGTTAGATTTCAGCACCTCAATCTCCTTTGCAAAAGATCACGTCGTACATTCCGCACTATCTTGAATTCGGCTTCTTTCTGCTCGGATAACGCTAGACGATCTTCGATCGGATTGGTTGGACCTCCGCCGTAACTTTGCAGCAAGTCACTCTTAAATCAGCAAAGTGGCAAGGCGCATCTTTAGTATGATCCGGCCGCCAAAATTTACAAATGTTTCTAACCAAATCTTCGCAGTTGACACCCAAGGAAACCAAACATCCTTCTTTTTCAGCCACTCATTCGGCAAATCACCCAAAGGTAGAGAAGGTTCTGGCCACTGAAACTGATGACTAGGTGGGAAATCAGGCCCATCGATCCACATCTTCATTTGTGATTCGCCGCTCTCATGGAGACCACGAGAAGCCGGATCCTCTGGATTCTCTGATATCTTAACATACCTCCATTGAGTTGGGTGAAAGCACTGATGAAACTCAGAAACCCTATTTGCTACGAACGTCGTGAACCATCGGGTCGTACAACGCATGAGCTACAGAACGACCATGGAATTCCTCCAAAACACCGGTTCTTTTTCTCTCGCGACACTTGCGTGGCTAGTAAAACCGAAAGAACGGAAGCTGTAAGCTCTAACGGAGGTGTTGTGATCGTTTTTATTAGGGATACACTGGACTTCCCCATGAGAAGGGAAATTTGTAGTCGTTTCTCGGTACCCTCGATACTTGTGTACTACACTGCACCATATCCTGCCTCCGAAGCAACTGAGAAGCAATGTAGCTGTATTGTACCGACAACAGTGTTCCGGTGTAATGAATCTCGGGCTCTTTAGCGATTCTGACAAACGAATATCGCTGAACAATCGGAGCCACTCATCCCGTTCTGACTCGTTGACTGGCGCGTGCCATGCCATTCCTTTCCGGATGAGGGCTTGTAGGAGTTGCTTGGCTGGGAGCAACCAGTCCCATTGAGTCGTGAATCGTTGCAACAAAAGACAGATTTGATCGCTAGGAACAACCCCCTTCGAAACTCGCTATACTAATGCATATGCAATCATCAAACAGGTTTCATTTGAGCCTCAATGTTAGGTGCATCTTATCAGATGGTAAATTATACTTAACAGATCTGTTCACCATTGATTCTCGTAGTATCACACAGTCGTCGCACTTCCATTTGGTTGAACGAAACCATCCTCTGGATGCACTTTCCTGAAACAGCGCAGTGGGACGTTGGACTACTTCCCGACTACTGCAACTGAATAGGTAATCGTCAAAGTAAAATCTTTGTCGCATTACAGATAACGTTAGATCTGCATACTCAATTCTGCTGTCGTCAATTGCTCTCCTGAGGGCGAATGAGGCACCGCATGCAGATGAATTTACACCAAATGAGTGCATTATCATACGGAATGCTTTCGGGAAAGCATTAATTTGCCCATTAGATCGTCACAAAAAACGCAAGTAGTCCCTGTCCTTCTGGGCGACTTTCATCTGATGTAACATCGCTTCGATATCGGCAGTCACAGCGACAATACCAAATCTAAACCTTAATAGCACACCAACCAACTTGTTCGTCAAATCTCGTCCTTTCAACAACTGTTGATTTACCGAAGTTCATTGGTAAGTACCAGCACAATCAAACACAACGCGGACTTTGTTTGGTTTGTTTGAGTTCGTTACAACGTGATGTGGCATGTACCACGCTCCATTCTTATTGCCAAGTATCCGAGTGTCAACTAACTCAGCAAAGCCGTTTGTTATGTTCCTCTTTGTCAGCTGTATACATCTGACTTAGTTCAGCATTTACGAGGAGCCTCTTCCGCAGGGACTTCAGTCTTCGATAAGAGACTGGATAGTTACTCGGAAGATTCGGGCACTCGCTGCTCCATGGTAGGCTGAATTCATAACGTGAGGCGCAGTTGGTGACGGATAACTCAATTTGCTTTAAAGCTTACTGGTCTTTTATGGACATTTCGAGGCTCGGTAAATTCTAGCTCGTACATCCTTTAGAGGAAGGCGTACCTGCGATCATCTACCGAAATGGGGTTTGTACAAATGCTCCATGTGACTTGACTCCCGAATGAACCTAGCAGAATCCTACTCAAAGGAGTTTGTAAAGCAAAAGTTTCGGAGGTTTTCCCCATATCTATACTTGAGCGCCAAATGGGTCTCTGGGACGTTTATACCCATAAGGACACTTAGGTCTTCTTCGTAGCTATCCGGAAATTTCAGGTCCTTTAAATGTGTCCAACGTTCTAGGCATTTCGATTCTGGGACAATTCGTTTGACATGAGGCATTTTAACGGACCAGGCATGATCCACGAAAAGAGAATTTTCTCCAACGGCAGTAACTTTAACTTGGCCACCGCTGACATTGGATGTTCTGACTAGCGACGGTTCAGTCTGTAGTTTAAGTTACCGTAATAACTGTTCTTTTACAAGTGATGAATCTGACCCTGGGTCCAACAATGCATTCGCCGATATCGTCTTATCTTTACCACAAAGTTTAACGGGAGTCACTCCCCAAGCATCTGGAACAATGGACGCTACTGTTTCGTTAACTGTAGCACACGGTGAAGGACTTTGAATTGCACTTGTATTGTGCAGTAAAGGGTTATTTTTTAACTGACAGTCATCTAGCCCACAAGAGTACCGAGATTTACAACTATCCGACGTATGATTCGGTTTCATACATAACAAACATAAACCTTTCCGAAATACGACCATTAACTGTTGGACAGCATTCATAGATAGGAACCGAGAACACCGATACAAAGAATGGTTTTCTGTGCACACCAAACAGGGCGGTTGGACACTATGACCCGGCTGTAACGCTTCTTTCGTTGTCAAGGCGTTTGTCCTGTCTCACTTGGTCTCCACTCGATTCGCCTATTAAAACCCTTCCTGCCTCTGCACCATTTCATCCAAATACATAGCTCGAGTTTCGGCGACTTCGGCATACTCACAAACGGAGTGATACAAATCTGTGAACGTTTGTTCTCCTTCATATTGCATTAAACCGGACGCCATTTTTGACGACTTGCGCTTCAAAGGGTACGGAAGCCTCCAAATGACTGCTGCTATTGTAACGGTTGCATTTAAATCGGCTTCGTAATTCAGCTGCTGGATCCAGCACACACACACACTCCAGTGGGTTCAGGCACCTCTTCAT